TTCTTCAGAAGAAGTCGTTTGAAGTTTTTGACATATTTGACCCCTGTGACCTTGAAAGTAGGTCAAACTAATTTTCATTCTCAAACTTTGTTGGTCTCTATCCCAGGAAGCCACCAGCCAAATATAAAGATTCTTTACCTTTCAGTTCTTCAGAAGAAGTTGTTTGAAGTGTTTGACACATTTGACCCCTGTGACCTTGAAAGTAACTCAAGGTCATTTTCATTCTCAAACTTTGTTGGGCTCTATCCCAGGAAGCCATCAGCCAAATATGAAGATTCTATACCTTTTAGTTCTTTAGAAGAAGTCATTAGAAGTTTTTGACATATTTGACCCCTGTGACCTTGAAAACAGGTCAAGGTCATTTTCGTTCTCATACTTTGTAGGGCTCCTACCAACGAAGCTTTCAGTCAAATATCATGACTCTAGGCCTGTCCGTTCTTCAGAAGAAGTTGTTTAAAGGAAAAGTTGACGGACGCGGACGGACGGACGGACGGACGGACGGACGGACGGACGACGGACGCCGCGCCATGGCATAAGCTCACTTGGCACTTTGTGCCAGGTGAGCTAAAAATATAGGCTGGGTTAGTAAAAAAACTTAATATTTGCCTACGGTCTAGCTATAGTATGTAAAATATTTAATCGTACACCCCTGAAAGGGTAATAATTCTTTAAACAATCGTCGAATCAAAATGCTAATTTAAAAAGCACAACTACAGCCTTTTAAGTTTTTAAGAAGATCAGTTAAAAACTGAGGGAGGAGATCTTTGGACAAAATTAAAATACTGAAAACAGCAAGGGTGATAACTCTTTCAGAAATGATGATTTGGAAAACATGACTACATGTACATGTCATGATAATAAAGCCTACCCAGTGCTCCCACTCATTTTTGTAACAAGGGGTGTTTGTACCCCCAGTTTCCCACAAGTGGGGGTATGAAGTTAAAATGGGGGAGGGCATTTTTTTTTCTTTTTCTAACACTATGTAGTAGACGATGTTTTGGATTTACGCTATTGAAACCAATATCTTACTTCGAGGAATCCAAGTTTTTCAACTTTTCAGAGTTCGAATTATCAGAATTTTATTTACTAAAATAAAGAAGAGGGTTGGTCGGGATCGGAGAGATAAACGGGGTCTACGAGTTAAAAGAGTTCGAGATAACGAGGTTTGACTGTACAATGTACGTATTAAACGTGTCGCAACATTTCAAGACCCACTGGTCCCTTTGTCCAGCAGTATGACTGAGTGAGTGATTTGGATTATTTACCTGTAAAACGATGTGATAAATTGTATATTTTTCGTGTCACTCGACCCGAGACATTTGGACTATCCATAGGGACGTTTACACACTGCATCAGAAAATACAATTCCTCAAAACCTTGATATCACATATTTCTAAACTGATGAATCTTATTGAATATGTTACTGGTGTGTAAATGTTTGAATTTTGATAATCAGTTCAGTATAGAACAAAACTGGCTCCTCCATCGATAAGTTTTGCTGCAGTTGGAGCGTCAAACATAAGGCACATGTGTTGACAAATGTAGTGTCACCAAACTCTACATCGATGAGTTTGTGGAAGCCAACTGCTGGCATACATGTTGAACCTGACAGCCACATAAGTACATCTTTTGGCTCAATCCGTTCACCGTTGTGTCCGCACCTTTGTTAAATACAAAATACATGTATGTCAATAGACCAATTGTTGATTTTCCATGTCAGATATGAACCATTGCAGACAACAAAACTCAAAAGTAACATCTCGCATAAATATTGTTCTGTGTATTACAGCGTATATTTGTAGCTATAATGATATTTATATATGGAATATATATAGGATATTCAATGGTTTCCTGTTTAATATCAAATATATTCACGAGTATTGCAGATTTTAAATATATAGAAATATTTTACAAAACTTATGACGGTTGTTTATCAACTTCTATTTCGCATTTTTAGCCTTTTAATACTTCATACAGTCACTCAGTAAACCTCATTCCTTTTCGAAGTTAGTCACTTGGTAAACTTCATTCCTTTTTGAAGTTTGAAAATTTACCAGGTAAGAGAAACATGCTAAACAACTGTCACGACATTATTTGAACTCTACACAAGAGACCCAATGGGCATGCATTGCTCACCTGGTATAAATCTCACACTTGTAACCTTAAAGAGATCAAAAATAAAGCTACATGCAAAGTATCAGTATTTATAACTAGAAGTCATTCAGAAGAACCTGTTAGAAGATTTTAAAACATTTGACCCCTGCGACCTTTAAAGTCAAACAAGGCCATAACTTTGAATAAACTTCATCCCAGGTTGCTTCTGGCCAAATATCATCACCCTAGGCCTTTTGGTTATTAAGAAGAAGTTGTTTGCACTAAAATCTTGGCACTGGACGACAGATGGCCGAGGGAAGGACAACGGACATCGCACCACAGCATAGGCTCAATTGCCCCTTCGGGCCAGGTGAGCTTATAAAATCTACGTGAATTCAAGAGAACAAGACCAAATTATTTGATATAAACATCATTTTTACATGGAATCAACACATTTGTTAACTTTTTGAAATTTCTATGGGAAGATTCTGCACATCCAAAATTAAAACAAAATGAAAATGTGTGTATACATCCCCTAGAGACAAAAGAACCCTTTAAAATGACATATTTTGAGTTGTTCATGCAGATGAAATCATTAGATCTTAGAATATAGGAACAAATCGGGAGAGTTGGCATGAAGGAGTCCATTGTAAATACAACCAGTACCTTTAGTTGCCTGTAGGAAAGTAAGGAAACCCTGTGCCGTTTCCATCTCCAACAGCTTTGCATTTCCCTCACTGTACTGAAACTTCAACAGAGCTCTCAGATTTGAAACAGTTACAGGCTTCATCCGACCACTAAAAAGTGTTCTTGCTGCAAGTCTGTTGTTCACACATATAGCACTGTGCACTTGATGAGTGTCCAAACCTATAAAACAATGAACAAGTATGTCAGCTTATGATTACCTGCTTAAATTTTACACATAATAATCCACAAATAACTAGACTACCTCGGTGGCTCAATTGATAGAGCGTTCGCATGTGAGGCCGGAGGTCGGGGATTTGATCCCAGCCGCCTCATACCCATGACGAAAATTTGTTAGTTGTAGCTTCCCCTGGTAACACTCAGCATTAAGGGGCCTGTCTGGAGCAGTATAATGTGTTTGGGTTAATGTAAGTTATAGTTTTGCTCTTCACCTTTTATGAACTGGTCCAGTTCCCCCTACAGCTGGTTACCATGTGTTCAATCAATGCTGCCTGTAATTAAAGCATTGACATGTTGTCTAGTAAACTTTGGGACAGGAGTCAGGAGCATCGAACACCAAAGAGTATTGAAACTGTGCCTCATAATCAGTAGCACAGTCTCTCATCTGAAATATGCAAACATGTTTTGAGAAAATCTTAAAGAAGTCATAAAATCTTAATCTTACTTATATCACAACATTAATAAAATCAGAATTAAACTGTTTCAAGTTTGTTGTGGTTTTAATTTCATCATGTTTCATGTTGACGACCAGACCTTTAATTTTTTGTTGCATCAGCAGTCCATTAAAGCTCAAATAGCCAACACATTTAACATATACAAATCTATAACAAAAATTCAAAGTACAGTCAAGCCTTGTTGATCCAGACACATATGTTTCAATGCTGAAGAGGCTGGATAGTGAAGTGGTTGGGTTACAGAATCAAAATTGACATGGGTTCACAAGTATTCTAAGGGAAATCTGTAATTAGACAGGATCAACTGGATATATATATAGTGAGGGTACTAACGTACATGTATAACCTCCATTCATTCAGACACTATATTCCAAGGAATGTGGAACCAGAGCAGATAAAAAAAACAAGCAGTTTTACGGTCTGTATCGTGCGAGTCTGAGAAACAACCAAAGGCTCAGGGTCCTAGACACTGAACTTGGCTATATTTTCACATGTTGATGTCCAGTTAGTATTAGCAAGATTTGGTTTTAAGTTTCCTTTGTGCACTTTTTGGGGTTCTAGCCCCTTCATAAGAACAATTATTATGAAATGTAGATTCAACGCAAGACCCAAAATTTACCTTATCCAGAATTTCCCTCACTGTGTCCTGCAGGTCATCTGGATTCACAGTCACGACCTTTCCGTTTAAAATATAATCAACAACGCAGTCTGCAAACACCGGTATCCAGGGTCCATCTTGGATGATGGACAGGACCACCAACTGCCCAATATAAAGAAACGATCTTTTCTTCCTTTCTAGGAAGTTGGTTTGGAAGGTAAGTCTTCCTAGTTCACCTGTAATACCTAAACAAAATCCATTGGTATAAATAATATAATAATTAAATGGTCTTTTTAAAAATTAATTTATGATACTTCAAATGAAGGAGCCGATAATGGATCAAGTCATTCCTTGTCCCATCCTTTAAATGTATCACAGAAATGTTTGTAATGTTGAAATAGGTGAAATTGTTTTTATGTTTGGTGCAAGTTAAGAAACACATTGAGGTCATTTACAGACATTACAAGTTGAATGGGTGGAGAAAATCACCAAGAAAACCCACAGAAGTCATGCTTTATAACTTGTTGATAAAAAGAATTATTTACCTGACATATAAAACGAATGCGAGAGCTGGTGGAGGAGTCGACCCCTTCTTCCCCACAGAACTTTATCTGTAGAGGGTTTTGGAGGTCTTCTTGGGAGAACTTAATTAATGTAAGAGAATCCCTCCGTATATGGTCCCTCCTTACTTCCATCAGGAAGGGATTTGAGTCGAGATTCCTGATGAAGTCCCTGCAGGAACTCCTTCAACTCCCCAAGAGAAAGATTATCACTGAAAGAAAAAAATATATGACTCAAAAACATCAGATATGATTTGGCGTGTTGAAGAAACGAATACATTGTAGTAATAACTATTAATGAGTCGTGCATGTATGTCAACAAATGCCTCATCTACCTCTCTTTCTTTTTCCTTTTCTTACCACACACATATATAACTCATGTTCTACCACTATTGCCCATGTTTATCAACTATCAGAGCATTGATAAACACACTATAGAGCTGGATAACATGCTCTACGGTTGCATAACATCATGCAATAACACTTTCCAGCATTTGGATTCGCTGAATATATGCACTTTGACCCAGCACTACATATTTTACTTAAACTTAATACCCCACTCTAATTTGTAGCGGGGGGGGGGGGTTGTTAATTATTTACAATTACCCTCAAATAATTAATTGTTTGTTGCGAGCGAAAAAGAAAAAGAAAAAAATACCCAACATCTCTGGTATATAGTCATCGACCGATTCAGAATTACCATCAACAGTGTCATTTAGCTCTCTGTAAGAAAAAGGAGAAAGTTATAAGATTTTTTGCAACAATAAAATTAGGGCACAATACCAATTTTACTTTACTCTTGATAAATTGTTATTAATTTCTAATTTAAAACATGTATGTTTCATTATTTAAATGAATTGAACCAATTGTGAGAGTGTGATTTAAATAGTTTGCAGTTGCTATTGTGCAAAATCATGCAGCATAAAAAAGTTAACCTGTCTGACATGAAAATGAAACTTGTGCGATGTTATTTGTATGGATAATAATAAACATGTGAAAGGTATTCAAATCTTCCAAGTTATTTATGGAGTATTTAAAATTGAGGGGCTGCTCACTATCAAAACATCTTTCTGATAGCCCTTTTGATAAAATGAGCTGGAAAAAGTTTTGCAGGATTCGTCAGCAAGCCTTCCTAACAATTCAACATTTCACAGGTACATACCGGTACTCAATTTTGTGTCTTGTGGAAACAGCCATAACAACAAGCACATGCCAATTAATTTCCCGCATTATTGAAATGATGGTTCTATTAGAAACACAACACCCTTTCTCAACAGAATTTCTTCGCCAATAGCAAATTAATATTGCAATTGTTTTTATTGTCTTTTTAGAAAATGTAAATATAAGGACAAAATTATAATTTATTTTGAACTTTATGAGGTAATAAAGTTCGCATTTATAGTGATTTATGAAATTTTTACATGCATGCTGCTTGTCTTAATAATCTCATGAAGTTGAAAAAAATTTACAGTTGTGTAGATGGTTCATAAACTGTGTTACTCCATGTTTCAGTTGGTCAACTACCAATCAAAATGCAGTATACAATTGAAACACAGAATGATTGTATAAATTACTTCTTTATCCGAATCATTGGTTTTTCAAAGATTTAGTATTAAAGATGTAGAAATATAATTTGCAATATACCTGGGTAAATCCAATAGTTGTTGAGGCTGCACATTTGCAGATGATGATGGTATTGGGCTTTGCAAGGATGAAGTTACTCTCAGCAACACAGTTGGTGTATCCCCAGTTCGATATCCCAGAGCATTATTAACCTACATAATAAAACCAATTTCAAACTTGACTTGATTTAAACAAACTTGAATCAACACCCCCATGGCATCATATATATACATGCGTAACAACAAACCTCTTGCTTTTCTGGTTCTCGAGAAAAAGTTTTTTTTTTTAAATAGCCATATTTTTTTCAATTTTTGCTCTTTAGGGACCCCTAATACCTCTGACCCCTCCATTTGAAGAAATCTGAATCCCCATGCCATTCTAACACTAGTGCCAAGTTACATCAAATTTGGCAAAGCAGTTTATGAGAAGTTGAAAATGAAAAATTTATATAAGTCAAGAAACTAAGGTACATTGATGGGTCATAAAATTCTCATTAACCTACCTGAACACTACGCTGTTCATTTACAGCAGTTGATAATGCAGCAGGCTGTTCATTTGGGATTGGTGATAGCTGAATGAAAATTTAAAAAATTGTCTCACAAAATTAGTTGTCGCTGTAATGGCAGTAAACTGCAATAACTCTACTCCGCTTGGCATGCCATATTAAACTATTAACTGGCCTTTTACAGAAGGTAATCAAAGTGTTAAATTCAAGCCCAGATTCAAACAAATTCAATGTCAAAGATTTTGTCAAGAATGAATGGTTTCAAATATTGCTGTTGTTGCAAATTCTGTTATGCAATAAGACAATTAAATGAAATTTTATTGAAAAATTACTTTATGGTAAGTTTCAATAGTATCCAGTCTTACTATGACGTCACAGGAGGGTGTGCCACATAATGAATCTGCAAAGATGCATAATTGGGAAGTGTTCCCATTTGTCTATATTGCATATCCGTATTGACTGATTATTGCACTAAACAAATCCTTTAACTCAGACATATATTACTCCACCTTTTTTTTAAGATTGTAATATTTTGACAATAAACTCACTCTAGGGTTGCTGTTCCGGGTCACTGAATTTAATTGTCTTTGGTTTGTGTGAAAAATTGAAACAAGAGGCTCAAGGGGCTTGAAGACACTAACCTGATTTAAGTAGCCTTTTTTAAATGTTCATGTGACATGAGTGATTTTTCCGAACTGATCCATGACTCACTGCCAGAATCCTATCTCATCATATCTTGTCTTTTAGTTGAACTTTGTAAAATTGGTTTATGAGAAGAATTTGTTTAAATGAAATGTTTACAGATGACAGATGGATGATGGCCTATTGCCTGAGGTTGCAAGAGTAAAAGAAATGAGGAAGACATATATTTGGCTTAATTCAAAATGTTACTTCGAAAAACAATATGCTCACTCTTTGGCTTCTGTTTTGAGATGTTGATTGTCTTTGGTATGTCTGAAATGATTCCAGAAAATATTCAACAATAATTAAGAAGGTATGACAATTAATTCATGCATTCTGAGCATAGGGAGATTGAAATACCGGGTAATTGTTCCTGAATAATGCAGAATCATCTCTTGAAAAAGATGGAAGTACCCATTTACTTCCATCCATAAAAATATATTGGCTGCAGCTACCATACTACTGGCGCTGTCGTAGATTGACCAATAGCTAGTACTTTGTATCTTCGCTCACATTACATAGGTAACAATCATTCATGTGTTCGAATGTCAATGATGAATTACTTGGTTGTCCTGCAAAGTTTAGTTCATACCATTTCAATACAAATACCAGTATATTATATTGGAAACATATACAAATAAAACAAATGTTTCCAATATTCTACTTTTTCACAATGTTCTAAAAAGTTCTCAAAGACGTCACATATTTGTTTACATGTCTTTTTGGTTCTCAATAGCTTATTTATATCATTTAATACACACTCACAAAACAACAATTCTGAATAACAGAATAGACACATTGACTTCATTGGCTGGGAGTCTTAAATGATTAGTTATTTTTTATTAACATGTAGTAAACATTTCATTTTTGTTATGTGAAAGGTATCATATAAAAAAGCTTAATAACACCCTTTTTTCGCAAATCTGAATCCCCCTCACCTAGGGATACTTCCTGTCTCAGCCAATTAGAGGCCAGGGCAGCCATTTTGGAATTTCTGATTCACTTTTAAAGTAACAGCACTTGTTCGGGAACTCACAAGGAACATAAGTACTGAGTTATAAGTCAATTGCCAAAACAATTCTTGAGAAGAAGTAGAAAATGTTTCAGCCAATAAGAGGCCAGGCAGCAATTTTGGATTTTTCCGATCTGCAAGAAAAGTAACAATACTTGGTCAGGACCTCATAGGTAACAATTGTACCAAGTTACAAGTCAATTGCTCCAGTAGTTCATGAGAAGAAGCTGAAAAGTTCTCAGCCAGTCAGAGCAAGGTGGTACCCAATTAGAGGCCATAGAGGCCATCTTGGATTTCGGATTGACTCTAAAAATAACAACACTTGGTCGGGACATCATAAGAAACATTTCCAAAAAGTTATGAGTTCTACGGTTCTGTGGCTCTGAAGAAGAATTCAAAAATGTTAACCATTAATACACGACGGACGATGAGCTATAGCATTAGGTCACCATGACCTATGGTCTGATGACCTAAAAATCACAAATGTTGCATACTGCATAGTAAACATTTATTCCATTCAATGTGCATAACTTTTGATTAAAAAAGATACCAAACATACTGACCAATTGAAATGCAGCATTGGCAATAAAATCCAGTGCTCTTAGAGAAGAACTGCGATGGTTTCTTGGTGGAGCCAATGATGGAAGTTCATTCTATGATAACAACAAGATGGCCAAGGGTCTTAAGGCGCTCACCTGAGTAATATGGCCTGAATGTTTAATACTGAGATTTTAATACTGATTTCATAAGACATGCATATTGAAGGGGCTATTTTGGACAAAACTGGGTCTACAACTTGAGGGCATTGCATATATATACATATATATATATAGACATATATATGGACACCAATCTTTTGTACTTCGTGACGTCACGTTACTATTGTAGTGTGATGACATGTAATTGTGACGTCACGAAGCTGTTCTTTTGAATAAACCTGAAGAGCCCTGTGAAGGGTGAAAGCAGCTAGTTTTTTAGTCGGTCGTTAATCTTATTTTTTCTATATTTACTTCTTTCACATGGACACTTAATCCCTTTGTATCATATATATATATATATAGTGAAGAGTTTGCAATTTATTGAAGACGAAGTTAGAAGTTCAATATCCGTTAAGGCCCATGTTGAACTTTAACCCCTGGTATGCTCCAATTTATGATCCCAGGGATATTCTTTTGAACAAAAATGATTCCACACCCCAGGTGCATGATGTAAGCAAAATAGTATTTATGGGGGAATTTGCGAAGCATCGTGAAAGAAGATATTCAAAGCTGCATTTGCCTACCAATCCATTGGTTGCTATGGTAATGAAACCTCTGTTATACCAATTTTGAGTAAAATCGAATAATATTGAAATTGCAACCTATCAGAGGACATGTACACTTAACTATCACCACAATATCTGTAAGTAACGGTGAACACACAATAATTCCCTTACAAATTAGAATAAATGAGTTAATGTATACTTATATATATAGTTCATTGATTCTTTGTGACAGCTATTTTTACCTCATCTTCTATTTCTTCTGTATCTTCATCACCTATCTGCATTTGTAATATATAAAAAACAAGAAAAAGAAAAAAAAAAAATATTGACACAGTATTTGATTACAGTTAATGAGATTTTTTCATATGGCAATATTAATCATAACAGATAATTCAGAGTATTACAAGTTAAATTTGTCAATGAGTGAGGAATACTATTGGATTTCTTCAGTTTGTCAGTTATATTTGGGTTTATAAGTTTGACCCAGTTAAACAGGAATGCAAACAGTATTTATAATCTGATCACCATCATTAAGATTATTTACCTTCCGAACCAGTTTCATTACTGAAGGAAATTTGAGTACATGCAGTGAATCGCGATCTGTAGCAAGGTACTAACCATTTTCACACATTCAGTCCCAACAATCAATTTTTAACTGTGTCCAGTGTGAATCAAACCTCCTTATACAGGTCCACTATTAACATATTAAAATTTTAATTGAAAGTCAAAATCCGATATTCTAATCTGACAGTGACTGTATTCAATAAATTCCATTAAGTAATTGGATAGACTTACAATTGAGCGATCAGGCATGATGTATATTGCAGATCTAGCTACATTTTCCCTCAATGCCCGTAGTGCGAGTCCTGCCAGTGGTCTCAAAAGCCACTTAGAACCACCATTACCACTGGAAGGCCTGCTCTTTGTAACTTCATGAATTGAAAATTCATTTAGGCCTAGTCTGGGGAAACTTTCTTTTACTTTGTAGCGGAATGCATCCACCGATGATTTCCTGCTCACGGATATTATTTTCTTTCCTAAAACAACAATTTGATTTATTGAATCCTTCAACCTGATTAACCCAGTTGAAAAATCTCCATGAATTCCGCGGAATTTCCATGGATTTCGCTCCGCATTTTCTGTGGAAATTTGCTCCACGGAGTATTGGGAATGATATTCCGTGTAGATTCCACAGAGAAAAAACAAAAGACTAGGGATTTCTCCATGGAGAATGCTGCCCAATTTCCACGGAGTTAGCTGAACTCCGTGGAGATTACAGGTCGACACTCTCGGAGGTTACCAATGTATTTCTGCAGAGATTGTCAGTGAATCTCCACAAAGCGTGCTTCATCTCCGCGGAAAATGCTGGATCCCCGTGAAAAATGCAGAATCTCCGCGGAAAATGCTGAATCTTGCGGAAAATGCTTGATCTTGTGGAAAATGCTGGATCTGTTTAGATATTGAAGAATAATGGTGTATTGTGAATTGAACATGCTCAAGAAACAATCATTTAAATAACCACAGATTTTTTTAGAAGATGGCTTTACAGCATTGCAGGGACACTCTAGCATTACAAATAATTTATCAAATGAAATACAGAACTATCTGAACTGCACTTCAGGCAACCTGTGAAACAATTTTGCGTATAAAAACCTAAAACATAAGAGTTGAGATTTTTTGGCAAATTATTTTATTGATTTTAAAAGAGGAATCATGGAAACTCTTGAAATATCATTATCAAATTGGAGTCTCTTGTACAAATTCAGAGATTTGACACTCGTCAGTAAATGACAACTTTCCATTGAGGCTCTGATTTAAAACAGACCTTCAATATCTTCCAATCAAGGACAATAGATGTATTATATACATCTGTTGAAAAGAAAGTACAAAGAATTCTTTCAAATTTCAAATCAAAATTCTGTATTTGAAAAAAAAGAAGCTTATGTTATGACATTAAATGTCCCGTCACATAAAAACATATTTTTTGGATTGATCTACTAAGGTGTCTTTAACATTTCACGACTTCTTAGGAGTTGCAGATGGCTTCAATACTTCTGCAAGCTTAATGTTGATGGCCTGATTGCTGCTCTGTGGTCCAGGAAACTGCTGCCTCATGATGTCTGAAATAAAAAGAAGTCAAATATATCTGCCATTATTAACAAATAGGGTCGTAATAATAGCTCTACAGAGCTTTGTAAACACATAAATAAAATGCTTGTGTCCCTTGTGTCTTTGATAAAAAAAATGACTACTAGCATCTTAACTTTGGTCTCGCATTGTTTATTGTTTCATTCCAACCAATGTAGCTTTACTATGATATAACAAGATATGTACTAGTTATGTACTAAGTTACGAGATCTTTTTTCCCCCTGGTGAACTTATCGTTTAGTCATGTGCCAATGACACGGGTTATCATAACAATATATTTATTTACCTGTTAAACAAAAGTTAGATGACAACAAAACTTGTTGTTCCTTACTTTATATCTAACTTCCATCACATTGTCATTAATATTCTAAAATTAAATACAAGTGGATGACATAAGCCTGACATCAAGTACTGAATCATGAGCACGTAATGGTAGTGATATGTATTGTCTTGCCACCAACACTAGATTTGTAAGAAAATAAATACATAAATAAATAAAAGATAAGAAAATTACCATATAACTGCTCAAGTTTCTCCTTGTCAAGACCCGGCTTCTCCCCCATGCCGGAAACAGAGTGCCCAATTTCTCTCTCACTGTCCTTAAACATCATCCTACACAAGGTTTTGCATGCCTTAGAGAAGGCAAGGTGTTTCACCTTTCCAGATAATTGTTCCTATGAAAGATAGAATAAATGACATTTGGTCATGAATCACTTGCCTGATGTTGACCAACTCAGTCTTTAAAAAAAGACAAACATATTAAACTTTGCCATTGATATATAATATAATTACAAAAATTGAAGGATGAAGTCACTTTGACAGAAAAAGGTGTGAGATTAAAATATGAATATATGTTTATTTAGAAATATCTGCTAAATTACCTTTGTAAATCCATTAAGGAGGATATTCTGATCATGTAGTTGTTGCTGGGGCTGAAGTTGTTGCTGGGGCTGTAGTTGTTGATGGGGCTGTAGTTGTTGCTGGGGCTGTAGCTGTTGCTGGGGCTGTAGTTGTTGCTGGGGTTGTAGGTGTTGTTGGGGCTGTAGTTGTTGCTGGGGATGTAGGTGTTGCTGGGGCTGTAGTTGTTGTTGGGACTGTAGTTGTTGTTGGGGCTGAAGTTGTTGCTGGGGGTGTAGGTGTTGTTGGGGCTGTAGTTGTTGTTGGGGCTGAAGTTGTTGCTGGGGGTGTAGGTGTTGTTGGGGCTGTAGTTGTTGTTGGGGCTGTAGTTGTTGTTGGGGCTGTAGCTGTTGCTGGGGCTGAAGCTGTTGCTGGGGCTGTAGGTGTTGCTGGGGCTTTAGTTGTTGCTGGGGCTGTAGGTGTTGCTGGGTCTGTAGGTGTTGCTGGGGCTGAAGTTGTTGTTTGGGCTGTAGTTGTTGCTGGGGCTGTAGATGTTGCTGGGGCTGTAGGTGTTGCTGGGTCTGTAGGTGTTGCTGGGGCTGAAGTTGTTGTTTGGGCTGTAGTTGTTGCTGGGGCTGTAGTTGGTGCTGGGGCTGAAGTTGTTGCTGGGGCTGAAGTTGTTGCTTGGGCTGTAGGTGTTGCTGGGGCTGGAGGTGTTGCTGGGGCTGTAGTTGTTGCTGGGGCGGTAGTTGTTGTTCGGGCTGTAGTTGTTGTTGGGGCTGTAGCTGTTGCTGGGGCTGAAGCTGTTGCTGAGGCTGTGGCCTAAACTGTTCCTGTGGCAGTTGTGATTGTGCATACTTCAGATGCTGATGTTGCTGCTGTTGAAACTGTAGATGCTGCTGCTGTGAGAATGAGTAGTCTACTGGGGCTGTAGTTGTTGTTGGGGCTGCCGTTGTTGTTGGGGCTGTAGTTGTTGTTGGGGCTGAAGTTGTTGCTGGGGGTGTAGGTGTTGTTGGGGCTGTAGTTGTTGCTGGGGCTTTAGTTGTTGCTGGGGCTGTAGGTGTTGTTGGGGCTGAAGTTGTTGCTGGGGCTCTAGGTGTTGTTGGGGCTGTAGTTGTTGTTGGGGCTGTAGTTGTTGCTGGGGCTGGAGGTGTTGCTGGGGCTGGAGGTGTTGCTGGGGGTGTAGGTGTTGTTGGGGCTGTAGTTGTTGCTGGGGCTTTAGTTGTTGCTGGGGCTGTAGGTGTTGCTGGGGCTTTAGTTGTTGCTGGGGCTGTAGGTGTTGCTGGGCCTGTAGGTGTTGCTGGGGCTGTAGGTGTTGCTGGGGCTGAAGCTGTTGCTGGGGCTGAAGCTGTTGCTGAGGCTGTGGCCTAAACTGTTCCTGTGGCAGTTGTGATTGTGCATCCTCCAGATGCTGATGTTGCTGCTGTTGAAACTGAAGATGCTGTTGCTGTGAGAATGAGTAGTCTACATTCTGTTGTTGCTGCCACGGAAACTGTCTGTGTTCTATCTCATTTCTTAACCTCTACAAGAAATCAATAAAAACTATGCTGGGGCTGAAGTTGTTGCTTGGGCTGTAGGTGTTGCTGGGGCTGGAGGTGTTGCTGGGGCTGTAGTTGTTGCTGGGGTTGTAGGTGTTGCTGGGGCTGTAGTTGTTGCTGGGGCTGTAGGGGTTGCTGGGACTGTGGGTGTTGCTGGGGCTGTAGGTGTTGCTAGGGCTGAAGTTGTTGCTGGGGCTGAAGGTGTTGCTGGGGCTGAAGGTGTTGCTGGGGCTGTAGCTGTTGCTGGGGCTGTAGCTGTTGCTGGGGCTGTAGCTGTTGCTGGGGCTGGAGCTGTTGCTGAGGCTGTGGCATAAACTGTTCCTGTGGCAGATGTGATTGTGCATACTCCAGATGCTGATGTTGCTGCTGTTGAAACTGTAGATGCTGCTGCTGTGAGAATGAGTAGTCTACTGGGGCTGTAGTTGTTGTTGGGGCTGCCGTTGTTGTTGGGGCTGTAGTTGTTGTTGGGGCTGAAGTTGTTGCTGGGGGTGTAGGTGTTGTTGGGGCTGTAGTTGTTGTTGGGGCTGAAGTTGTTGCTGGGGCTGTAGGGGTTGCTGGGACTGTGGGTGTTGCTGGGGCTGTAGGTGTTGCTAGGGCTGAAGTTGTTGCTGGGGCTGAAGTTGTTGCTGCTGGGGCTGTAGTTGCTGCTGGGGCTGTAGTTGTTGTTCGGGCTGTAGTTGTTGTTGGGGCTGTAGTTGTTGTTGGGGCTGTAGCTGTTGCTGGGGCTGAAGCTGTTGCTGGGGCTGTGGGTGTTGCTGGGGCTGTAGCTGTTGCTGGGGCTGTGGGTGTTGCTGGGGCTGTAGCTGTTGCTGGGGCTGTAGCTGTTGCTGGGGCTGTAGCTGTTGCTGGGGCTGTAGCTGTTGCTGGGGCTGTAGGTGTTGCTGGGGCTGAAGTTGTTGCTGGGGCTGAAGCTGTTGCTGGGGCTGAAGCTGTTGCTGAGGCTGTGGCATAAACTGTTCCTGTGGCAGTTGTGATTGTGCATACTCCAGATGCTGATGTTGCTGCTGTTGAAACTGTAGATGCTGCTGCTGTGAGAATGAGTAGTCTACATTCTGTTGTTGCTGCCACGGAAACTGTCTGTGTTCTAACTCATTTCTTAACCTCTACAAGAAATCAATAAAAACTATGGTCAATACTTGAGGATAGTCATTACACATGAATAATGAATACCTATTTTAATAAAATCAAGTTGAAACTAGATTTGTAAGCTATAGGCTTACATGGGTCAATCTTAACTTGATTCACTTCGGTTTTATGGGTTACAAGTTTCCCCTACAGAAGAAATTTCTGTTTTTTGAAATTCCCCTATGTGCTTTAAAATTCACCTGTTTCAACAAGTAAATAGCTGTTCCATAAAGGGCAATAACTCAAATAAAAAGAGGGTGAAATACATATAAATCACAATTGTACCACTATCTAAGGTATTTATTATATGCTTTGTAAATATTGGGCAAGTTAGTCTACAGGCATCTTACAGTACAGATATTAGTATTTAGTGTCCAATAATCATGAGTCTGCAAATGTAACTGCTTGAAGTGCCTTTGGCGGGTATAAATTTATGCTGTGGTTGTTAACTTTGTGTCAACAGTTGACATATATCCAAAGCTGCCAAAAGGTTAGAATTTTTTCAGGAGAATATTTAAATATTGATCTAAAACTTTAAAATGATTTAAAAACTACCATAGTTTTCTGTGGGCCCTTTTGTAACTAGGCCCACCTCGAACCAAATTTCCCATTTTTTTTTAATCATGAGGGGCATTTATAAACAAGGTTTCAGGAAGATATTTTATGCTTATTGCAAGAAAAACTGAACTGAACTCACAAAATAATATTAGTATATTGCATCACTGCAATTAACTTGCCTTAAAATCTTGTTAAGTCTGACATGTAGATTAGCACAATGTTTACAACATGTGCTGTTTTCAGCATTTGGGGCTGTGGGGCTGTGGATATTATCCTCTAGAGTTGGCATTGTCAAATCATGAAGTGTTGTTTCCTCTAGATCGCAGCTCTCATCCAATGAAAAATCAAACAACACCTCGTGTGATGTTTTTAACAGACTGGATGTGAGAGATGGGTTTTCAGTCCTAGAAAAAAAGTAAGAAAATAGAAAGTTCCGGATGGAGTGTTCATGTCGTACATTTATTTCTTGGTTTTGATAAATTCAACATTGAATCCTTGATGGTGATATGATTGAAATATGAAGTTAACAGAAAGCTTAAAGTTAGGCTAGCACATATATGACCTAAAACTTACTGTTTGTCATCAGGGTTTTCCTGGCTTGTTTGTTGGTTGCAGTTGATGTCATCGATCAACTTGTTGATCTCTTCTAAGGAAGCATCTTTTTGTAGAGCCTTTTTCTTTTTCTTTTTGTGCCATACAAAATAACAATTTCATAAAAAAAATATGTTTAAAATGTAAACCATATTTTTTTTTAAATTATGTATCACAAGTAAAACGTAACTATTTCAATTTTTTATTACTCCATGGCCAGTGTAACACATTTCTAAATGGACATACAATTCACAACATACTTGTTAATTCTATCGAATATTGATTATTGTTATTATCTTCTGAATGTTGGAACTTGAAAAGAAAAAGTCCCAGTTAATCTGTGACTTTAGAGGCAACATTTAAACCAGAGACCTTATACAATTACTTACTTTGTTCATGGACAAAGCATCGTCTCCTGTTTCACTCTCATGAACTGTCTTTTTCTGTTTTTTCGGAACTGAAAGAGGAGATTTAGAATAATTAAACATAGACAATTGTTAAGAAGAGACTTGGTTTGAAATTAATGAAAAATATTACAGTTTAGTTCTTAAAACCAATCACTACTTTACCTCAGAGATAATCAATTTATTAATTCAAAAGAAAATTGTTTAAGATGGCGTTTAAAGCAAGAAATGTATACAGACAAAGGTCATTCACGGTCAATCAGAGTTAACTGGTGATATATATATATATTCAGTCTTTCACTAGTACCTTTTTTGCATGGGTGATCCTAGGAAGAGGCTTTTCCACAGCATCTACTGTGGTATCAACCTGCGAGGGTCTACTCCCACAATCAGACCCTACAATTTAACTGAACAATGTACATTCTATTATTATTGGGTTAAGATTGTATATCAAACAAGAAAAAGCGCGATACATTTCATGGACATATATATATATATATAATGCCATTTATAATTATTATATAATAATACAGGAAAGAGATTTGATACTATATGACCATGAGGCCAACACAGTAACCACTGCCCAGTTTTGACTGATGATTTATCAATTATATACTTGCCATCATCTAGATCTTTCAAAATTTCGTCTTTAAATCCCATTTGCTTTAAGATGCCCTTTGAATCCAGTTGATCATTCTTCAGCAGGTCGTCCAATTGGCGTATTTTTGGAATAAGGTCATCCTTGTTTCCTGCGTACAATATTATAATAAAACATATAACATATTTTCCCCTTTTACACTTGCAATACTAGTACTACTACTGTAAACAACCAAATGATTATCAAGCAGTCGACACAAGGCTATTTGAGCTTCAAGTAAAGAAATCTTAGGCCTAGTCTTGCCAGAATGTGATTTCTACTTGCACCATATGATAAATATGACCCCCCCCCTCTAAGGGTCGAACATCAATCATATTAGGTCTAACAACTAATCAAGGGATATGAACGAATCGAAAAGAAACTTGATATGCCGGCAGCTGATACTAGGACTACCACCAACAGAAAAAAATGTATTCTTGGATTATAAAAAACGACCTTTAAACGAAAATCAGAAGAAGAGATGAAAAAAAATATCCCGAGAAACCAAAACTGGTTCTGATCAGCCGATATTCATCGTAACTCCCTGATGTATTTTACATCAAGATTATATTTAGAACACAGGCATGTTCATGCCACACATAAATACATATTGCTTCCTACGTCGATTGCTAATACATTTCAACAAACTCACCCTCAATTCCAACGACTGCAGCCTTGTAAGGCCTTCCCTGGAATTTCGCCAAAACGAAAATCACCGGTCTCGTAGGCATTAACCTCTTTGCATGGTTTTATTATTGTTGAACTGGTTTGAACTGGTTTGAACTGTCCAGTGTCTCTCCTTGTAGTACCAGAACAACAGTGTAAAATATTTCTGTATTGCTTACGCCATGCCGATCGTAGTTTTCAAATCCTTCCAAAAGCACGGTACTCGTGGTTGCAGAGAAGTGTTCGGTTTTGATTTCCAAATATTGCGCCAAAAATCGACCAATAGATGACCCCGAGAGAGTAGTTCAGCCGCTGGACAAATCGCATTGTTTGACAGAATTGATAATGGCCGACATGGGAGCATGGTACAGCGCAAGATGTAAACAAAAGCATACGATGGAGAAATAGTCAACTTACTTTCAACTGCATGATTGCATCGTTTTTGTTAAGGTATTTTTTTATGTATCTTATCTTATATATTGCAACACTACTCTCAACCAAGGTCTTCGTGTGAAAATGAACCGTGCATGCCTTACGATACAGTAAAAACAATAGTTTTCGTTTTTGAAAGTGGGCTCTACAGGTAACATTACTGCTGTTTTAATTTTGATCGGCATTCCAATGATAATGTTTTTAATAGGTAGGCCCTAATACGGACGAGCTTTGTTTTTAATAGTAGGCCCTAATCCAGACGAGCTATTCTGATAAAAATGAACTGACGCATACGTAACGTTACCTATTTTGACGCACCAATAATAGTGCATTTTCTCGGTGAAATATTTTCAAATCAGCAAGTAATCATGATGACATCAGTATATGATATAAGTTACAAGCAAATAAAAATCGTTGGGAGTTGAATTTTAGCGTATATATAGCGTTAATTTTTCACAATTTCAAAAACGAAAAAGAAAGCCACTGATCGCGTTGAAAAAAAAGTAAATCGAACACGTACATCGTTATAGTGTAGAAATGAATAACCTGGATCGTTTCATTAGCTGTCGAGTGACAAGTACCTTTGGTCGAGTTTTACTTGTCGAATGCTACCCAAATAGCAAAGAAAGACTCATATAAATATAATTGCTATATATCGCAGCATGATTTATGAATGAAAAAAACCCGCTTTTAAGAACTAAAATTGCTATGTTTACTATGATCATCAGAATATATCGCTTCTCCAAAGACTAATATGGTTCAAACTAATTTTTATAGATCACTGAACAGTGAACAGACCCTTTTTTGATATAAATATAATCATGAATTGGTTTGGGTCTGTTGAATTTCAAGCTGTAGTCTTGTGACATGAAAACAAGTACCATTATGTTTTATAATTATAAGTATATGATATGTAAATAAAAAATTTCAATGTAGTGATAAAAATGGGAACACTGTCAGTTGCAATTAAATTGTCCATTTTCAGCTACCCTGAAGTACACCTTAAGCTTACAGCTCATGATCAGAGCTGTCAAAGAAAATGGACTTGAACAAATGGATATGCCATATATGTGGAAAGGAGCTCTCCAGGAAGCAGACACTGAAAACACATTTGTCTTGCATACATGGTGAATCTGGTGAGATGAATATTGTAAATCGTTTCATTTTCATGTGTACTTCATTTTTCAAACTACATGTATTAATTCATGCAAAAATGTTTTATTCGAAATCATTTGCAGTATTTGTGTCCGTGATTAAATCATTAATAGTTCAAAGTTTCCTCTTCTTCGATAATTCCTGCACCAGTATTTGAGTATTATCCACATTAAATTATCAAAAGCTAATTAAAATCAGAAGTGTTTCTAATTTAAGTCCTGAACATCAGTAAAACAGAATGTTGCCTTGTATTTGTTTCTCTCAGTTTATTTAAAATGCAAAATTATTTGTTTCAGTGAGTCCTGTAAAAAAAAGTACAAGGTGTATGAATCCAATCCATGTGTTGAAATACCTACAACTACAAAATATAGATGGTAGGTCTTTTTTATTATAAGGTGTAAAAAGAAACAGTTTATTTGTTTTTATTGAGCCTCAAAGAGCAACCGTTGAACAAATTTTATCATAACAGATTTCATTTTTTTTAAATCATGCTGTAAATGCCCATTGAGATATATATTTCAAACAGCTGATCATCAAGTTTTCAGTTAGTCTGTCCCTTTGTCTGTATGGACAGAAGTTTGTCCAATGCACTGTAGTTACTGTAACTTTTGTAATTAACTTTTGACGAAACTTGGTAGCTATAACCGTTTCCTTGATTAGGTAATACTGTTTTTGATTCATTTTTTATTTCAACAATACATATATTAATAAATTGTTTTTGCTTTCACCAGGAAAAACCAACTGAACACATCGGACTCTTCTTCAGTGCCCACATATCTTGCAAGTACTGGAACGCTCCATGAAATTAATAACCATCATGATCAGACTGGCTCCAATCAACAACATGAACAGGAAACTGTAGATATACCAATTCAAAATTCTAGTCCCACAATAGGTGATGCTGAGTCAATTACAAGTACATTGTCAGAACTTTGAATATTGTAGTATTTGTGGCAGCACTTTCCCAGATGACGGCAATGTATTAAAAACATGCAGAACACCAGGATGTGGAGGTTTCCGATCAAACAGAGATTACTTTGTTGTGGGGAATATTAAAAAGCAAATCAAGGAAAGGTATTTGGTTGAAGATTCAGGATGAATTGAAGCGACCAAAAACCACATCCTCCCCCATTGTTGACATAACATCAGGATGTGAATACAAGAAGATGGCTGTAGAAGGAGGCTTTTTGGAAAAAAATAATACCAACATCACACTGACATTTAACACTGATGGTGTTAGCTTATTCAAATCCATGAATGTTTCACTTTGGCCAATCTATCTTGCTATAAATGAAATCCCCCCAAGAGAAAGATTTCTCATGAAAAACCTCATCATTTGGGGAATATGGCAAGGACCATCTAAGCTTTTGTTTGTTTGTTTGTTTGATTTTGTTTAACGTCCTA